TCCTTCCAGAACATTTTGCAATGCAGCTTAAGTGCTGCATTTCTGTTTTCCCACTGGCCCCAGCAGTCCCTGGGGTCAGAATTCAGCAGAATCTCTCTGCTTCCTCTTGAGATTAAGCTGCTTTTCTCTGTCCTGTATGTCGCGGGGAGGTGTCTGGTGCAGCGCAGCCATCCACCTGGAGATCACAAACTAGGTGAAAGATTTCCCTTTCCCCTTCCTCTACATTTTGACTGTGTGGCTTGATGACATCTAGCAGGGCCCTTCCCCGTCTCTGTTATGTGTGCCAAGGTTGGCAGTACTCAACTGCCCTTCTCCCAGCTGGGTTTTGAGCCACACAATCTCAGCGGTTCTTCAGTTTCCTAGCTTTTGGTAAATATTTTACCAGATGCTTAGCTTTGCCTTGATTTCTCCACAGAGGAGAAATAGAGAACTTCCTCTCCAAGACAAGATACTTTGTCTTTCTGAGGTATGCCCTGTTACATCACATCAAAAATCTGTCCAAGAGCATCTTCTGATATTCTCCCTCCTTTTAAGCTGAGATCTGTTCTCACACTGCAGGCAAAGCACTGGGAACGTTGTGGAGACTGAGACAATGCTTTCAAAGCCTGGAGACTGCAAAAGCCTATTTTGAGCCATAACAGATGCTACTGGACATATGGAACAGCCGAGGGGACTTGCACCAGGACTATAAATGTTCTGCAGATCTTTATGTCCCTGACTCAGTGGGTGGGTTTCCTATGGGAACTGTAAAATGGGAAGGGCAGAAGTGCATGTGAATGCAAATCACTAATGTTCATGACTCTCCTGTGGAAAATTTGCCACAGGCAAAGGGCAGTAACCTATCTTTGGTGAGACAGGGCTCATGGTGGCCAAAAAGTAGCCTAAAAACCGGCCCCGATGTAGGGGAGGGTCACATTGACCTGTGGCTGACTTGAGACTGGAGCTTTTACAGCTCTCTCTAAATTTCAGGATCCCAGGCCAGCATGTAAAGTCTTTATTGGTTTATTGGTATATTTTACTATCTGCAGTACTTTTGTCCTGAAGCAGTTTTGGACTCTGTGAAGACGGTCAGTGGTTCTCCAAAAATAATCCCACAGTCCCTTGTTCCTCACATGTCTTCTTCACTCCCTGCCATCCTCTTCCTTCCCTACTGCTGCCTAGCCATCAGGTTGCACTGTTTCACACTTCACTTCCCGGGGAACCTTTTCTTCCCTGCAAACTTTCCCAAATTCAAAAGCAGCGCTTCATCTGCCGACACCGCTGTCACTTCACACTAACAATCACTGCATGAGCAATGGTAATTGTTATTACCTGCAGGGACTTTTCTTCTTCCTCTCATCTCTCTTCGTCCCAGCTCGCAACAGGGTGCTACGTAACTGTTCTCTTTCCTCCTCCCAGCACTCTTCCAGCAGAGGTGCCCAGTGATGCACATACACACACAGAGTTTACACGCTATTTTGACTGCAGGTTCATTGCTGACAGACCGCACGAAGCATAAGGAGCTGGAGAAAGATTAACTCCCCTGCATGCCATGGGGCCTTTCTCTTCCTGCTCCAATATGCCTGGCTCAGCTGTTGGCTACAAGTGAACTGTCTTTCTCCCACTCCCAAGTCCAGCATAGGGAGTTTTCGTTGCCCAGTTCACCATTGGCTTAATAGTAAGATGTCAAAGCGTTACTTGTCCTCCCCTCCCCACTTCCTATAGAGAAGAAAGAGGAGATGGTTTCTTCTCTGGTGCCTCATGTCACAGTGTGTTCGTTAACTAAATGATTGTGCAGGTTTAATCCCAGACTTGTGATCCCAGCCTGCCGAAGTGGTAACACTGTGCCAACACATGGTGATCCCTGCTCCTACTGCTGCTTCACAATGCAACAGTTCCCTAAGAGCAGCTCCGCAATGTCAGCGATGCATTGTATGCCGTGTACCCAGCTGACTTCATCAGGCTGCAGTCTATGTACGGAGCACTGCAGTGTGTGTAGCTTTCTGCAGGTGTGCACTCAGAAACTCTGTTTATCCCCTGTTGTTGTCCTCAACTCTTGTTCAGCCCCATCACCTATCTACCCAAGTGGATGTCCAGTTCTTCCTGACCCCAGTCTGTCTGTGCAGTTGTCCCCGTGATTTAACTGCGTCTTCAGCAGGGCTGTACGGCATTACACAATCACACTGCCCTATGTAAGCTCTTGCTTGCTTTTGTCTCTCTGTTTCTGTGCATGTGTTTTGTATACAGTTATCATCAAAGCAGGAGGAACAGCCATTGGATTATTTAAATTTGTTTCTCCTCTGTTCTGTTGCTTGATTTTAATGGACCTTAACAGGGGCATGCTAGTTGCATCTCAGAACTATGTCTGGTGATGGTGTGCAGATCAGGCCTGTATTTAGCCCACACCACTGACTCATCATAGCATTTCAGTTGGTAACTCACCCCAGACTGACTTCTTCCGAAAGAGGATTTTCATGTACTATGGGGAATGCCCTAGCCTGGGGGGTTTCCAATAAATTTTGTGCTGTGTGTTGCAGAAAAGAAGGCTCTGGGGATGAGAGTGGTGTACCTTGACCTCTTTTCTTACTCACAGTGTGCCTCTTTAGATTTACCAGCTAACCTTTCACACCATGGGCCTTGGGTGAGCAAGACCTGAAGTGCTGGCTGCAGATGGAGGCTGGCGTTGATGGAAGAAGGTATACTCTGAGTGCGGACCATCCCTGGCCCGTGAGCAGCATTGGTATGGGAGAGGTTGGGGAAGAAGGCGTTGAGAACAAGAGATGGACCTAAAAGGGAGCAAGAGGCTCAGGGCTGTGAGAGGAGGAAAGGGCGAAAGGGTGAACCCTTGATAGAAGAAGGAAGAAGGCAGGGCAGATTTCTTGAAGGGGCAGATAAGGGGCTATAGGCTGCCACTCAACTACTGCATTCATATCAGAGAGCCACAGTTCCTCACCCTAATTCTCTGCTGGAGCTGCAGCCAGCTCAGAGAGGGTCCTGCACCCCTTGCACACCAGAGTGCAGGGCAGAACTCTCAGATTTGCCATGGTTTCACTCAGAAACAGAAGTAAGAGGGCAACAGTCCCACAGCCTGGAGCTGTGTTCCACTGTGTGATGTCTCAGCTCAGGTCGGTGTTAGTCTGAGCATCTTTGATGCACGCCACTCCTCAGTGGAGACTGGTCCAAGGGCTGGGCACTAATTTGGGCCAAAGTCTGTTCCATATAGGTATGCAAAAATAATTTTTCATCCTCTCTCTGTTATCGGACACTCCAGTGCTGGCTAGCTCCTGATGTAAATTCAAGGAGATCCAGAGTTATTTGAATTTACACCCTGCAGCAGCTGAATTGTTCCTATGCTTAAATTAGCTGGAGGTCAGCAATCTTGAAACCTTTTCCATGTTACCCTCTCTTCCCCTCCTCCCCTTTGCACTCTTCCACAGAAGGAGCAAAGTACACACTTACACCATCTTCTTGAAGGAAGTCCTGGGTGATTTGGGGGAAGGGTGGTGCTGCCTTCACGTTCTGTAATGATAAAAGGGAGTGGTTTGTAAGTAAAAGAGGAGGGAAGGACAAAGGAAAGGAATGTAAGAGTAAAACATAATGTTTCTCTTTATCCACCCTCTTCCCTCAATAAACCCTCACCTCAAAGGACGCGAAGATCTAGGTGCAAGAACAGTAAAGTGACTGCAAGGCATCATGGTGTCTCTGTGGTGCTGCATTGCCCTGGCAAGGAAGAGCCAGAAAGTTGCTTAGGTGAAGGAAGGCTTTGGGCCACATTTGGGTGAAACATCAGCCTTTCCTTTCCATTCCTAATATGCTCGAACTGCTGGCAAGCACGGCTGTCCTTAGGTGGGAGTGGGAAAAGCAGAGCTGCTGGAGAGAGAGCTCATTCAGGTTGTGTCCGTGCCAAGGAGTGCATTTGAACAGAGTCCCGTGGGGCATGAGTTGCTGAGCTCCAGGCTCGGCCTGGCAGGAGCGAGTGGCAGAGGCAGGGCTAGATTCGGTGCGGCAGGATTGGCACATCGGCCTCGGCGGGTGGTACATGCCTGGGGCAGAGGTAAAACTCCACACAGAGCTAAGTTAAAATCTGAGCGCTCTTGTTGCCCAGACACAAACAGGGAGCACAGGGGAAGGATGCAGGGCATCTCTGTCTGGCATGGTTTGTGCTGGTAGGGCAGCACAGGGAGGGAGTTTGCTGAGTCAGCAACTCTTCTGAGCTGGAAGAAAAATTATTCCTGCCCCCTGCCAGCACTTCATGCAGATCCAGGATACAGCTCCCAGAAGTGTCCCTACATATGTTAGCAAGAAGGCAGCTGTCTGCACATTTTGCAGCAAGAACAGCGTGACAACTGATGCAGCACTGAGCTGTGAGCCTGGGGTAATGGATCTCCTGAAGGGAAAGCTGTGGAGTACAGCACTGGTGGGCTTAATCCGCTGACTGCCAGGAAGGAGGTTGTTCTTGCTGACTCCGAGGAAGCTTGCAGGCAAGACCCAGGGCTGGAAGCAGGCAGCCTGCCAGCTGCAGGGCTGGGGTCATGTAGTGCAGTGCAGCCCCCTTCATTACAGCATCCTCATTGCAGGAACAGCGGGCTGGGAAAACTACAGTTCCCAGCACCCTTTTGTGCATGTCCGTGCAAACTACAGTCCCCAGAACCTTTTAATGAGCCGGGGAGGATGTCTATGGAAATAAACACCGACGATTTTTGCATAACACCCTGCAGCTCCGAAGCGCTGGTCGGTCCTTGGTTAGTGAAAACAGGAACAGGGGAAAAGCCAGGGAGCGTCAGCGCTGTGGAGCTGTGGTTTTGCCCACTCTGAATAGCCGCTGCAGTATCCTCCAGCACAAAGCATCCTTCCTCCCCTCCGGACTCCCTTGGCAGTCTCAGGGAGGACCCTGGCCCCCAAGAAACACGGCTGCTGCAGAAGGAGAGGCAGATAAACTACAGATCCCGGCATTCTCTGGCAGGCAACACCTGCGGCAGTCCCTGCACGCCCAGGGGGGGTGTGTGGGAATGAGCATGAGGATGAGGATGAGGATGGAGGGCGGGGAGGAGAAGCAGGGCGCCATGGGGCTATGCTGCACCTGGGACATCCCACCATCTGCTGGCACCCAGGCCAAGTGGGTGAGGCTTAACGTTGGGGGCACCGTCTTCCTCACCACCAGGCAGACCTTGTGTCGGGAGCAGAAATCTTTCCTGTGTCGCTTGTGCCAGGGCGAGGAGCTGCAGTCGGACCGGGTAAGGCAGCTGGGTTACCTCCTTCACCATGCCCCACCGAGCATGGGGAGGGCTGGAGGGATGCAGGGGTGGAGCCAGACCCCGACAGCTGCAGGAGTAACTGAGTGAAAAATGCCTGCTCCTTCCCCCCCCTCTCTTGGGAAGGATTTCCCCTTGCCAGATCCCACCTTGCTGTGTTGTATCCTGGCACCTGTCTTCCTGAGCTGGGGAAAAGAGAGGCCACCTTCCCTCCACCCCGGCTCTCCCACCTCTCTGTCACCCAAATCCCCTGAGTCTACTGCCCAGCTACATCTGCCTGACTCAGCCTTGTCCCCTGTAAGTGGGCTCTCTGCTCTCTCACACCAGGCCTATACGCACAGTTGCAGAAGGAGACTGAGGCCTAATTTTTTGGCTTTCTCAGCTGAGTTGGTCCATACTGAGGTGGACATGCTGAGCATACCAATACAGGAGTTAAAATCCTAGCTGGGCTGATTTGGCTAGGGACTCTCAAGGGCCCATGGATTCCAAGGAGTCTTAGAAATAGTGGACAGTTTTGTTTAGGTTTGTATTTTCTTATAGTCCGGATCATTTGAGGGTTGGCTACAGGTTTCCCATGGGGTTTTTCTCCTCATGTTGCTAGGATGAGACTGGTGCATACCTAATAGACCGGGACCCCACTTACTTTGGACCCATCCTGAATTTCCTCCGTCATGGGAAGCTAGTCCTGGATAAAGATATGGCTGAAGAAGGTGAGTCTTGGAGCTCAGAAACTTCCCACTTAACATTGCTGCTGTAACCAGGATGCGGCAGGACTTCTTGTCAACCTTGTTGTCTCTCGTTGTCCTTCTGGAGGTTGATGTGGGGGTATTTGAGAGGGCTATCCCTGCAACTCTTGGAAAGCATACCAATGTTACCTTTACTAAAGGGGTTCGGAGTAGGTGAGGAAGGCATCCTACAGGTGTTGTGGCTTCATGACTGTTCATTCAGCAGAGGTGTCACCAGGTCGGAAGTAGGCAACATCTCTCAGCCTCGATAAACTATTTTTTTACTTGTTCCTTGCTCCTGATCCACTTTTAACCAGGCTCTCTGACTGAGTTTTCTGTTAATGACTGAGTGTTTCTAGTTAGGAATGAAAACCCAGAAGACCAAACAAAACTAAGCTCATCTCTTCTACTGACTGTAATAAAGACCATCATTAATCAGTGACATGCAGTGTATGCCACTAGTGCTCTGATGGGTTGTGGACTAGAGCAATTCCAGTGGAGCAGGCCAGACAAACCAATCCCTCATTTGAGGTTAACAGGGCATCCAGCAGGATAACTCAGTAACATCACGGTGTTAACCAGCCAGCAGTCCCCAATGCCTCGTTATTTTTTGGATGCTAGGGTCTAACAAGGAGCCAATTCCGAAGACAGGCTGTGCTGTCCAGCCCTTGCCAAGCACCATTTCTGCATGTTCATTAGTCTTCTTGCCTCTCTGTCTTACGTATTTTTACCTAATGCAAGGAAAGTTTTCTTCAGAATTGTCTTATGGGTTATAATTCAAAAAATATATCTAAGCAACAGTACAGAATTGTAATAAACACAATTCTGAGGTGTTTCCTACTTGACATTTCTTGTAATCTTGAGGTCAGCCGGAGTTCATCCACAGGTTTTAACATGAAATCTGAAGCATAAAGACGAGTCTCATTCAGAGCTTTGCCTTTTGTTCGTGCTGCAGACACTCAGGCTGGCATAAAACTAACCAATTAGAAACTTCATGGCTGAATGAGGGACTCGGAAGAGGTCTGAGCGTGTCAGGTAGCAAAAGATCAATCTCCCCACCTGCATTGTCTGTGTACTGCCCTGGGGATGTGTGAGTGTTGACTCCTAGCTGCCTTTCCCTCACCGACCCTCTGGGAACCCACCTCCCTTTCCCTGGAGGCCTGTTAGAAAACAGGTGAGTCTCAGGAGAGAAGATGGATGCAGACACCATAGAGGAAAAAACCCAAAACACTTCTCCGTTTACCTACTTTGAGGTGAAGCACAGGGGAGAGAGCCAAACATCATCTGAAGTCATATGGGGCTGCAAGGTGGGTGCAACTCCAAGTTGCCCAGGAGGAAAGTTGGGATTTTCTAGGGTCTTTTGGTGACAAGATCAGAACAAGTTGTAGTTCTCTCTCTTAAGAAGAGAGCCTGAACAAGGTGATAACTAGTGGTCATTGAGGGTGGCTGGAGCCTGCATTCATTCTCCTTGGCCAGTTAGCTGGGAAAGGTATTAGCAGTCCTCGGCACAAGCCTTCACTGGCAGTGCCTGTTTCTGTAGCAGCAGGCAGCATAAGGAAATTGGGGTGAGCATTAGAAACCCAATGCAGAAAGCCAGGTTCAATTCTCTGCAGTAAGAGTTTCAAGCAACGGAAAGCTGTTAAAAAGTGAGGCTGAAGCGTCATTTCTCCCTGTGGACCTTGGGAAGCTCAGAATTGATCTTTTGCAAGTCAAAAAGCAAAGACGGGCTGTTAACTTTCTGTCTTTGTGATCCTTCTGTCTTTCTTTCTCAGGGGTCCTAGAAGAAGCTGAGTTCTATAACATTGGTCCTTTAATCCGAATAATCAAGGATCGACTGGAGGAGAAGGACTACACAGTAACTCAGGTATGGAGAGAAATGGCAAGGAAAGACGGTGGGGTGGGAGAAGGAGGGAATGTGGAAAGGAAGAGGTGAATCTAGAGGGAGAGCAGACTTGGGAGAAGCAGCAAGGAACGGAAAGAAGCAACTAATTAGAGTTTATGTGCTAATGTCTACATACCAAAATCTTGCAGGGGACAGGCTACCACCATTTTAGTTACAATAAACAAGTTACAGGCTTGTTTTGCATTCCCAGAAGTGATGCTGGATGTAGTCCCTGAAACCAAATCAGCTCCTCTAGCTTTTGGAAGAAGGCAGCTGGTTGCTGTGGGATATGGAAGAACGTTTGTGAGGAGAGCAAAGATGTTGTGGGGAGGAGGGCTGTGGTGTGGGGAGTCCTGGGAGTGTAATCACAGTGAAGAGCACGGGGATATCTGTAGAGAAACCTGGAAGGAACAGGAGAAGAGATATCTGTGGAAGAGTTAAATGCAGACTGAGGCACAAGGAATCAGTTCTGTGGCACAATCAGACCTTGCCTTGGCTGATAACCTTTAAAAATCTGTCTTCTGGGAGTGTTGCCTGGTATTTCACTTTTCATCCTGTCTGCCTCAGGTTGTAAGCCTCCAGCAACACAGTCACTTCACGCTCGCAAAGCCCCATCAGCATTTCTGGCATTTACATAAGTGACTTTGTAATGACAAATGCAAACTCTCCATTGGAAGAGCCCAGTATCTTCTGGGGACAATGCAGGAAGCACTCAGCTCACTCCTCTCCCGAAGTGATACTGTTGTTCTTGTTCCCCATGACAGCATAGTAGAAAGTTGGGTTGTGGTTTCCACTCCCCTTTAGCCTGGGACGTGGGGAAGAGGACAGGTCTGTCAAGGAAGGGTACTACCACTTCATTCTGCAGGAGGACAACAGCCTTTACCATCTGACCATTGTCAACGTGCTCTGCAATTTTGCTGTCAGGTGCCTCCTAAGCATGTCTACCGTGTGCTGCAGTGCCAGGAAGAGGAGCTGACTCAGATGGTTTCCACTATGTCGGATGGATGGCGCTTTGAGCAGGTATGGAGAATGTAGAGGAGGGTGGGAAGGAGTTGTCTTTTGGGGAAAAGATCACGGATACCATACAGTCCCCAGGCAAGGCACCTTCCCTCTCTGAGAGTATTGGGTCAGTCATTGATGATGCTATCACACGGGCTCTCTCTTGCCCCTTCTCTAGAGGTTTAGAGGATACTGTGTGAGGTTAAGCTGTTTTGCATCCTGGCTGACTCCTCTCCTAGTTCTCTGTGCTGCCTCCTCAGCTTAGTTAGGAGGCCTTTCTATTGGGGGTATGGATTGGACTCCATGCTGCATGGTGGGCTTTCTGCCTTGCTCCTCAGGTGGAGTGGATGTTTGCAGTAACATGTGCTTGTGATTCTTGCTCTCGTCTTTTCTAGCTTGTGAACATTGGCTCATCCTATAACTACGGGAATGAGGATCAGACTGAGTTCCTGTGTGTGGTCTCCAAAGAGCTGTACAACTCCCCCAATGGCCTGAGCTCTGAGCCCAGCCACAAAGCCAAGGTGAGACCAACTTTGCCATGGCCCTGCTCCTGTTGCCTATGAGATCCTTCGCTCTTCTTTGCTCCTTCTTTCTTTCCTCTCTCCACTGTGACTGTGGGGCACCTCGATGGTGAAATACAGAGGCTTGTCCTGGTGTTCAGCACCGTGGCATTACATCCATTGCCCAAAAGGAGGAGTGCGTGTGTTGAGAGTGGTGCTATCCAGCTCGGTGTGGCAAATCGCTTTAGCAAGTGACCTTGGCCCTTCTCATGCTACTCTAACGTCCCCCATGCTGTGTGTGTCACTCTGCCCCAAGAGTGTGGTTTCCCTGAAGGTTTTGCAGTGTTCTCTTTCCTTTTGCTGAGTCCCAGCCTGAGGGACAGGAGATCACCTGCTCCCCTTTTGAGGGAAGGACAGAAATGTGTGGCAGTGCATGACATCCTGTAGACACCTCGGATACAGGAAGGAGCAGTAGCAATTGATGGCAGTTGTTGGGCGGTGGGATCACAGGACTTCTAAGTGGATTTGATAGCCCTGATGTGATGCTCCAGAGGCAGACAAGTCTCTTTGCTCTCTGACCCAGAGCTGTCTTGGCCATGGGGAAAGGTGTCTTTTTATTCCACTGTCATGACCATTGCTTTATTCCCTTGTGTGTCAGAAAGAACTGCCATGGCTCATCTTGCAAGTATCTCCACTCTTTCTTCCCTTTGTCCTGCATGCTGGGCCACAGAGCACAGAGAAGGACCTGGAGGAGGAAGAGCAGGAGGTGGAGGAGGAGGCAGAGGCAGAAGCAGAAGCAGAGGAGAAAGGTGCAGCAAATCCTTGAGGAAACTGATAAAAATACCCCCCCAAGCATAGACCCGTCCACCTTTCTGGTGAGAGCTCACATCTAGCAGCAGGGAAGGACTAGGGCAGGTGTGGGGTGTGGGGGCAGTCCTCTCCAGGAACAGGAATCTCTCTGGAGATAAAGCTGACAGGGGAGAGCTGTTACCATGGCTGCTGCTTTGTGTTTTAAATTGTTGGGTTCATTTCCAGTTACATTTTTATTTGCAGACTGTCCATCTATTCGGGATTGCACTCAACTCTCTTCCTCTGGACCCTCCCTCCTGCTCCCCTCCGTGTCCATCCCAGCACTGTCACCTACCTCCCCCCACCCTGCCCGAGATAAAGCTGACAGGGGAGAGCTGTTACCATGGCTGCTGCTTTGTGTTTTAAATTGTTGGGTTCATTTCCAGTTACATTTTTATTTGCAGACTGTCCATCTATTCGGGATTGCACTCAACTCTCTTCCTCTGGACCCTCCCTCCTGCTCCCCTCCGTGTCCATCCCAGCACTGTCACCTACCTCCCCCCACCCTGCCCCACTCTCCAGCCCCCAGCATCATTCCCTCTGCTCGCTTTGCCCCCCTCCAGGGCTCAGAGTGGTCCCTGCCCGGGCCCCTGTCTC